AGTTACTCACCTATAAAATATGACATGAAATATGCCGATCTTTGCTAAAAAATATACATATATAAGTATGTAATTATGTATATGCGTAGGTATATCCTTTTTCCAATTCTTAAGAATTTAATATAACATTTAAAATTTATTATACATATAGTGTATATTACTTGTATAACCGTATATAAGTATGTATATGTGTTATATAAATTTACTTATACAATGTACTACATACATATTATATACATATATGTATATGTATGTATGTATAAAAAAAAAAATTTCAAGAATAAAAAAAAAAGTTCAGATTTATAATCATTTTCATGTCTAGAAAAAAGAAAGAACAACAACTCATGACGAGCTTTAATTTCACTTTAAAGAACCTATACACATTTTTATTGTTGTTGTCATTTTTATAGTCAAAGCACTGTTTTTTTCCGTCTGTTCTTTTCTTTTGAACTTCAATTCCCATTTAACTTAATATATTTTTTTTTTGTACTTAATTTAAAAAAAAAATATTTTTTTTTTCTTAATTTTTTTAATACAAATAAAATAAATGATTAAAAAAAAAACATTTTTCAAGATAACATTATGAATATTATGAAAAATTTAATATTTCTACTAAGGTGTTATAAAATTAGATTGAAAGGGGTTGAGTGCCACATAAATTTACTCTATAGTCTATTAATTTTCATTATTCATTAGTAATATGTATATAAAAAATATTGCATACCTCCAGGATGAAAACAAACATTAACAGAAACTTTAATACAATGGTCGAATTCGACAGCTAATTAGAAATTTGGAAACTTCAAATTTTGCATATTTGGAGACACGATGCTGTGAAAGGCGAAAAATATAGAAATAAAATTGGTTTTAAACAAATACATTACTTACTGATGTAAAGCAGCTGCTGAAAGCTCAAACACCTGCAGTCTGCTGTCTAGAAGAAATATAAAAAATTTTCGATTCGCCTTTATTTACGATTCCCATCTACATAAAGGCTGTGTTCGAATTAATTAAAATATTATTTGATATTCATTTTCTAACCTTTCACAACTTTGACACTACAATACTCATTTATAATAAATATTAGAATTTACATAATATGTACGTATTATGCATATTTTACAAACATAACTGTAAATGATATAAGTTATTTGTTTATTGCAATTTTCTTATTAAATTTATTCTAAAAATATTCTAATTATTTTCATTTGTTTTACAATTTTTATCGTAATTAATTATAATGCTTGGTAGTATCGAATGCTAATATCGAAAATCAAGTTCAAATATATTAATTTATTTATAGCGGTTAACATATAATTGATTTTGTTCTTTTATTTTTAACACGTACTCATTTTTTAATACAAATTCTGAATTTTAATTATAGAAAAATAATTTAAATTCTATGGGTACTATAGAAGTTGTAAAATTAAATCAATATTCTTTGTAATTTAATAAATTACAAAATAAGTATAAATTTTTTAAAAATTTTCCAAAATCATTTTTTTTTATTTAAGAATTTTGATCACCTTTTTATTATTTCAAGTTCAAGTATTACGAGTACGTACATATATATTCTATATATGTGTATGTTTTTGTTTTGCTTTTATATAATTGACCGTAATTTTCTTTTGTTTTTAGTAAATTTATTATATACAAAAGCTTATATTGAACGTGACTATTTTTGAACTCTACAATATTATTCTATAATTACTGGCATTTCCTCTATTTTTCATTTAAAGCGGTAATTTTATTTAATTATAAAATTTTATAACATTTATAGAATACAAAATTTACTTATACTTACACTTTACATGCATAGTATAAATTTCAAATTTTACTTGAAATTAAAATTCCATTCACATTTTCCTGTTAATAATTTTCTTATATGGAATTTATTTGAAATTCTAAAATTTTTTATTTTAAAAAACAAAAATAAATATAAAATATCTTATAATAAGTATAAACAACTATTTTTGATTATTTGTTCTTCTTCTTTTTATGGAAAAAGAAATATAAAAACGAAAAGCAAAAAATTAAGCATAAAAAAATATTCGAATAAAAAAAAAAAACAAAAAAGTAAAACGATTTTTTTTAATACTTTGCTGTACACAACCCTAAGAATCGCTATTTTTTACTTTTTTTTGTTTTTTTATTTTTTCTTTTCATATTTTATTAACTTCCCTGATAATACGAATTACTAAGTGTAATATGTGGTTGATGATATACTATTTGAGTATAACAAACATTTATAAATATTTATGTATGAATGTATATGTTCAAGTAGTAAATTATGTGACATGAAAAAACTCCATAGGTAAGTAATAAAATAATAATGTAAGTAGGTCTCTTTTAATTATATATTTTATAATTAAATGTAAACATTATATAATATACATGTACGAGCGTATGATTGTGGAAATAAAATTAATTATATTGTAATAGTATTGTTGCTATACCATTATAATAATTTCATTTCAAATTCAAGAACTAAGACAATAAGAAAGTTGTTGATAATTTTTACAATAATTGACACAGATATTGAAGTATAGTTTATGATTCATATTAAGACTTGGAGTTTCTGTAATATTAAAGCAAAAGAATATATTTGAGTTCGTTTTAAAAATATAGTACACCTCAAATCTATTACCTATACGTTGCATTTATTTGTTTAAAATAGGTTCACAGGACTCTAATAATGTACATTCAATGAAGTAAATTGTCTTAATACTATAAAAACCGAAATATTAAATAATCCCAAATATTTAAATTTAAAGGTTAACTTGTATAACAAAATTTCCATTATGATAGGAATTTCTTGTATAACAAAATTTCCATTATGATAGGAATTCTTTTTACAAATTACCCCTAATTACACTAGGAATAGTTTGGATATTGTTGTCTATAACAAATTTATAACAAATAGAATAAGTTATTTTGTCTTTCATATAAACTAAAAGAAATATTATAATACATTTCGTTTATTTAATAAGTATTTAAAGTAATATTATAAATTTGATAACGGAATGGTAAATTAGATTGATTATAGTATAAAAGAATAATTTTTCAAAAATCATTCAACTGGAATAACTTAGTTCTTTCATTTATTTTTTTTTTTCTTCAAAATGTTAGCAATTTGAATGGTTGAAATTTTTAATGCAAATTTTAGTATAATTTTTATCTGTCAATCATTTGTAACTTAAAATCTATAATTAAAAATGATATAGTTATAAGAAAATTTTAATTTTAATTAATCTTGAATCAAAATATTTTTAAGTTATTTGTTAAAATTTAATTTAATTTAAATACAAATTCATAATGAACTTTTATTAAGAACAAATTACAAATTGAGTAAATATGTTAAAAATGGATAAAAAAAATCATGTGCAAAGTAAATTATTAAAGTTAATAAAAATATATCTAATGAAATATTGAGATTATTGCATTTAAATAACCCAGACGTAAGAAACTATTACAACTTTATAATTGTGCCTAAATGTTATTCACGTATTAAAGTTATGAAAATAAAATTTCCTATAATAATAATATTATATTGAAATTTATATTATACTTAAAATAAAATTCAGATATCATTAAAAAATGAAATATTCTAATATAATAAATTATAGTATAACAAAAGATTAAATTAAATGTTGCATTCTAAAATTTAAAATCAAAATTTTCCGTTTTAATTCTAAAAATAAATTAATCTAGATAATAGAACATTAATTACAGAAGTAAAACAAACTAAAAAAAAAAAGATTGATATTTGACTTAATGCATCATGCCATCTTCTAAATACATATAACACTTTACTATACTCAAGTATTATACAATTTTTGTATTTATTTATCGGTACTGTCATGTAAGTTATCTATAGAAATTGGTATTAGTATATTGTCAGTGTCAATAAAAGTGTATAACAATATTATAATAATTTATTTTTCATATAACAAAATTTTATTAATATAAATTAAATATTATTAACAATTGCATTTATAAATATAATTATACATAATTATTTACATAATATTATTTGCCTATGTAAATATTTTTTTCTTCAACCCTAATCATATAATAATGTAATTAAGTATCATTTATTGTAAATATGATGATGGTATTATTTCATGTCACCTTATTTTACTTGGATTTATACACATATTATGTAAGTATATGTATATATGTAAATATGTTCATACAATGTATAAAATTTTGTTTCCATTTAAATATATACATCATATGTGTATACATGTATATTTACATGTATATAGAATAAGTATACAATTATATGTAAATAAATGATAATAATATATTAAATTATATATACATTCACACACACACATATTATATGTATAATGTATATCTCGTATATCATAAAATGAAAATAATAACGAAAAAATAGTTATAAAATTGTCGCAAACTGGCCATAACTTATATATGAGCTTTAATATTATTAGTTGTATTTAGAGCTTAAAACGAAATCAAACTGTGAACTCTGCGTGTGAAATTTAAAAATAAAAATAAAATTTATTTACAAATTTTTTTTTTAAAAATTAAAAAAAGGTGTTAAAACAAAAATATAAAATTAAAAAAAAAAAAAATTTTTATCAAAAACTTTTCGAACTTTCTTAAAATATAAAAAGTAAATAAAAATTTTATAATTTAAAAAAAATTTTAATTAATTTTACAAAAATTAAGCGAAAAAGGAAACTTTTATAATTTTTTGAACAAAATGACGATTGTTAAATAGCATTTATTAAAAAATTTAATTTAGAAAAAATGAAGTGTTTAAATTTAATTTATTTTTTTCTTTATAATTTATAATTTTCATTTTCTATAATTTCTTCTTCTTCATAAAAAAAATTTTTAATATTTAAAAATTAAATTAAAAAAAGAAATTAATATTAAATTCTATAAAATAAAATTTTATTTTTCGATCTCGTTCACATTTTGCAATTTATAAAAGTCGCGCGCGATCATAAAATTTATTTTTTTTTGTTTTTGTGTTTATTCGATAAAACGTGTGTTTGGAATTTTTTTTTTTCAATTTAAATTTGAATTTGAAAAAGCACATTTTTCTTCGATATTGTTTACTCCAATATTATTTTAATTTTATTTTTCTACATTTTTACTTTACCTTTTGTATTCTATACCTTCAATACAATTAATTTTTACTTTTACACACCATCCTATTTACAAACACTTTCGGTGTTTTTTTTTTTTGCGAAGAACAGCATTTATTAAATTATCATCTTTAAACTATAAATAATTTAAGGTATGTGTACAAAAATATTATTTTTTTATTTATTACATAATTTTTACAACTTAAAAAAAAAAATTAAATTTTAAATGACAAATAGATATGTAAATAAAAAAATATGTTTAGTATATTGGAGTAGCAGTGGAATGTTTTCTTAAAATTTGTAGTATTAAAAGTTGTTTATTAAACAATAATTAGATTATAAATTAATTTTTGATTATTAATTTGTAATTAAATTTAAAATAAGAAAATTATTAAAAATTGAATTGTTCTACAATTCGAATTTATAATTGTTAATTAAAATTTTTGGTTTTTGGTCTTTTGTATAATAACAACTTAAAAAAATATAAGGATTGCTTTATTGGTGTGATTAGTATTTTGTGGTTCGTATATTAGTACGACAGTAATATATGTTTATATACGACAGTAATATTTGTAAATTGATTGCTGAGTCACTAAGATAGAAAAGAATTATTTTTAAATCACATGGTACCTATATGTAACTAAAAAATTTGTAGTTTAGTTTAGAACTTAAATGGGCTAGAGCTTAGTACAGGATGATTTTAAGTTTAGTTTATTTTTAATGTAGCTACTTACATATTATGTACTTATATCTTAGATTATAGCGAAATTTTATAGTGGAATTATTTTTCGTAATTTATACAATACATATACATCTTCTGTTACTCTTATTATACTCCGATATAGTAAATATCGGAAAATTAATAAGTGATTATTAAAATTTCTATTCTACATTATTTATTTTTAAATAAAATTTTCATATTTTTTTTTTTTAATTAAAAATATGAAAATATAAAATTTCAATAATAATTTTAATTTTTTTCTCAATTATATTAATTAAATAATTAAGATTATTTTAAAATATTTTATTTAACAACATATATAATATGCATATAATTATTATGTACGTAATCATATGACTAAGTGTAAGGTATTATAATTATTATAAAATCTTATAATATTATATAAATTATAATATAACCAAATATATAATATGTAATTAGCTATACAATATAGAGAAATGTATATAAGTAATTAAATTATGATGAAATGTTTTTTACTTCGTTTAGTTATTTTGAAAAGGAAATGTTATTGTCTTTAAATTTAATTACTTTTATTATTTTACTTTAATTGCTACATTATATAGATATATTTATATACATAATGTGATGTGATGATTCATTTTAATTCTGTGTTGTTAGAAATTAATTTGTGAATAATTTTAAATATAATTCATTAAACACAAAAAAATCTTATTAAGATTTTTATTTATAAGTTTAAAAAACAATTGAATACTCCATAACATTGTTATTATTACTTTGCAACTGTATAACTACGTTAATTAATTTTTAAATATATATCGGAGATTAAAATTACAATAGAAATCTTTAAAATTCAATTAAGAGTAGGAACTCTGTTATTAAGAAGAGGAATGTTAATAATTTTGAGGAAAAATAATTTTTAATTTTTTATTTGCTTATTTTTTATTTCGGAGATTATTTGGGAGGCAGTGTTTCAAAATTTTGTTTTATTAATTTTGCAAATTTAAGTTTACAAAATTAATGGGTACTGCTTACTTTACTTGTAAGATACTTTTTATAATTAATTTTCTAAAATATAATTTTATAATTCAAAAGTTAATTAAATTAATTTATTTATTAATTTATCATATAAATAAATGCTATGGCAAATACATTATGACTCTTGATTATACTAGATCTGTGAGCCACTAATTTAAAATAATTTAACATTTACAATTAAAAAATTGCTTAACAAAAAAATTTACTAATAGATAATGGTAGAATTAAATTACAATTACATAACAAATTGAATAAAAATTATTTTTTAAAAACAAAGTGTAATACAAGTCCAAAAGTTTTGAAATAAAATCACTAATTTACAAATTACTACATTTCTATGAGAAAAAAATCAAAATAAAGTTTTATATAAATTAATTTAAAATTTAAGAATTATTTTTAAATACTCAATCAAATATATGATTTCTTTATTAGTCGAAGCTCACCTCACAATTTGTAAGGCGAAAACACAATTTTATTTTCATTCGGTCTTGGCTGACATTTTTAAGATGCAAACTTAATATTTGGATTAAAGGAAGGAAAATTTAGCGTTTTTTTTTAAATAATTGCTATTAATTCAGAATAATACTTAATATTGTCTTCTCTTCTAAATATATTATCCGAAATTGGTTTAATATGATTAACTTCACACTTCTGACGCAGCTACATTATGTGGTTAAATCGATTTAAAATATTGTATAGTAACGGGCGGTATAATTAATTTGATCATACAATATATTTCAAACATAAAGCAATATTATAAAAATTTTCGAGAAAATATAGGAAGAATACCTAAATACATATATGTACGTTTTATATACGTAACATTATTACGTTATTGCGTTAATAATAATTCAGTATTAAGTTTAGAGTTCTCGAATTTTTTTCCCATATTACATTAGATCTAAAATTTTTCTAATATTTATTAAATATAGCTAGTTTTCAAATTAATATAATAAAATCTTATATAAGAATCTAATATTTTAAACCCTTAAAAAATTTTTTAATCTTAGTTTTTATTTTTTTAGTAATCCAAAATTAGACTTGAAATTTTATTTAAGACACATGCTTCAAATGAATGTAAAATTTTTATATTTTCTTAATTTTTTTGTTCTTTAAATCTGTATTAAACTTTGAGCTTTCATTTACATACATATCTACATACATACAGTTATATTTGCTATTAAAAAAAGTGATAAGAAAAATTATTTAAATTGTTTTATAAAAAAATTGCAATATTGTTTGCGATGTACAACTCAAATGGAATATAAAAATACAAAAAAAAAAAATAAATGAGAAATGAATCAAAATAAAATAATTAAATAGAGACAGAATTAAAAAAAAAGAAAAAAACGTGATTATTATCGCAGAAAAAAAAAAATCTTTTTTTTCTACTTAAACTTTATATGTGTAGCTTTTTAATATAGCTTGTTGACATGAGGTTAATGAAATTTTGTATAAATACTTGAAAAATCATGTGTAAAGGAGTAAAAACTCAACAAGATTTAAATATTTTTTAATTTATTGATTTTTACTTTAAGAATTTTTTTTAATAATAAGGGAAAAGCACCTAAATGCAAATCTAATAAATTTCATTTTAATTTATTCAGCAATTTAAATTTATATTGCTGAATAAATCAAATTGAAATTATAGATATTTTTTATTTAGGTAGATGACCTCTTCCTATTTACTTAACATTTAAACATGAGCAAATTGCAAATAAGATTTAGAGTGTCATTCAGCCAAAATTCAACCTTTTACGTATACATTATACATAATCCACTTACAATTCCATAAAACAAGGAAAATGTTATTGAACTTATACCGCATGTTAACTATATTGCAACAATATTTTTTTAATACTTAATGTAAATAATAACATGCTTAAAATATAATATCCTTTTAAGATTCATTCATATACAAATGTATTTATATAATTGTTCATAAGTGTGCGTATTTGAAAGTTCAATTTGTTTTTGAAGTCCATATGAGTACATATAAATTAAGTATAGGTGTTTTTATATAATTATATTATATAATTATATACTATTTATAAATAATATTTATAAAATTTAGTATAACTAGAATTTTGTTTATAACTAAAACCATGATATTGTGTACATGTACATATGTAACTGTAGAAGATTATTTATAAAATTCATTGAGAGAAGATTAAAATAAAAACCGTAAATTTATTTCATTGAAGAATGATGAAAGCGCCCATGCTAAGCAACAAAAAAAAAGCAAAAATATCAAATAACATAAGAGTATTAAAAGTAAATTTTAAGATGAAATGAATTTCCAAATCGAAAAACGTTGTAAGCACAAATTTCGTTATTTTCGGTAACATTCACCAACTTTAAAATTGTAGTTATAGGTACTTACTTAACAAAACATAATTGAAGACACTAGTGAATGAAAGTTTCATTTACAATTTTTACGAAAATTGATTTATTGCATAAATAAAAGTTTTATGTGTTTATCTTTCATATGCAGAAAAACCCGTTTTTCAAAAAATTTAAGGTATAACTTAACTCAATTAAAAGACTCACTTTAGGAGATAGCTTATTGTTAAAAGTTTTTATGTCACATTTTTGAATTATTTTGCTTTGAAAAAAGGTTAATTTACTCGAAACTTGTAGAATTGCAAAAACTGTTGTTGACACCTTCATTCACTCCTGTTTTCAATTCAGCATATGTTCCTACAATTTCTGAATTGTGTATAATTAATTATACATTATTTTTCACTTATTATAAGTAATATTTTAATAAAAATAATTTAAGAAATCCAATATATGTACATCACAAAATCAACAAAAAAAAAATAATTAAGCTTACTTAAACCCAAACAATGAAAGCTTAAAGAGAATTGTTTTTTTCATTTCGTCAATTATAATATTAATTCGCATCTTATATTTAATTTTTAAAATAAAAATTTTTTTACACGAAAAATATTAATTAAATTCCGGAATTAAATTAAGAAAAAAATTTATTGTTTATTTTTTTTTTCATATTGTTCTACTCCGATAAATTGTTGACACTCGATTAATATTTTAATATTATTATTAAAAAAAAAAAATTTTTCGTGTAAAAAATTTTATTTTTTTTCCACAATTATTTCGGACTTATTGTTATTGCGCGAGGTGGTAATAAAGAGTTCAATAAAAAATAATTATTTTGTAAATATTTTATCCGTTATTTTGCGCATGTAAATACAAGTGTGTACTATAAGAAATAATTTTTTGTTTCTCCGAGAATAATTATAAATTGGTAAACAATTTTTGACTTTTTTAAAAGTGAATAAACATATTAATAAATAATAATAAAAAATTAATACATTTTAATTATAAAATCATTTATAATTACTACATAATATCTAATTTTATAACAGATATAAAAATAAAATAATACCAATT